AAAATGTAAATTCGTCGATTTGTGTTACTTATGAAGATCCTATTATAAAATTTTAGATGTGACAAATCGTGTGACTGCTATATATCACATGATCATATGATCATGTCGAAATCATAAGAATAATGAAATAAATAAAATACACAAGCATTTCTATAAAAGTTTTGTGCTATTAGTAAACAGGAGGGAACGTACCCGATCCAAAGTGAATCCCACACATGGTGTGATCAATTAAAATTGAAATTATTTATATTAGTCTTAATTGATCACACCATGTGTGGGATTCACTTTGGATTGGGTACGTTTCCTCCTGTTCCATTAGTATCGGAATTTCATTTATCGTTATTGGTGTAATTATTGAATATTAATATTTAAATATAGAAATATAAAGAATAACAAGCGATATACTATTTATAATCCTAGATTTTTTAGCGCAGCATGTATATTAGAAACATTTCGTAATAATTAGGAACATGTACTACCACGGAACAGATCTTAGAAGATATAAAATGCCGACAAAAATTTTAGAGTACGTAGCACTTCACTAAATAATCATAGCATTAAAAAATTATTAATTAGTTCGAGTGATGGGAAACATATTAAGTCGCTTGAATTTTTTGAATGAAAAAGTGCTAAGTGATGAAGATGATGAAGATATATCAAGGGCATGTGAGTTGCGCAATAAGATAATTAAATTCTTGGTTTATACTAATGATGCCTATTTTGGACCGATAAAATAGTTTCGTCGATGGTTTCGTCTGACGAAACGTAACGATTTGACGAAACCAATGACTCTTGATGGAGCTCTTGATGAAATTAATTTGAACATACAATATAAAAATGCAGTTGTCCATCTTTCAACAAGCTCCTATATAACGACCTCTGGATATTCTGAATATTAAATTTTTTTAAAATTACTAGTATTTCATCATAATTTTTGTCGGTCTCTTTGACATCCGGGTGAGTAATGCAAAAAATAGAAACTGGGTAGAAACAGAGAATTAAGTTCACATGACTAATTATTCCAATTTACTAGTTTTCAATTACTCTTAAAGGATAAATCACTTTTTTTTTATTTTTTTCACATTTGTCGTATAAAAAATTTATGTTACATCATGAGCTTCGTCATTCGTCATGAGTCCGTCATTCGTAACGAGTTTCGTCATTCGTCGTTCGTCATTCGTCAATTTGAAGTTTTTTGACGAAAGTTTTGTCATTCGTCAGGCACCATTTTGTTTATACGGGACTATAATAACGTAGAAAAATATACTTATGAATATTTAGTGATTGAATATTCAAAACAGCTAGAAAAGACTCTAGAAGGATTCGGTATAAGAACGTTTGATTATTCACAATTTAGAAACACTAAAATTGTTGGATGTGGAGGGTCAGCTGTTGTTTATTCAGCCGTATTTCAAGGAAAAAAGTACGCATTAAAAAGTCTAAAAAATAATCTAAGCTTTGATAAAAAAATACTTAGTGAAACAAAGCGTGAGGTAATCAACATTTCATTTGACATTAAGATTTCAAATATAAAACCAATAATTGATATACAGCTATATAATTGTCACATAATTTTATATAGCTTAGACTTCTTTATCAGCTTGATCATCCAAACATCGTCAAATTTTATGGTGTTTCAAGAGGCATGTAAAAATATTGATCCCAGCTAGTGATGGTCAAAGTAATATATACTTATTACGTAAAAATTCAGTCGCGACAATTTAGTATATTATTAGTTGTATGTATTATTAGTAAATTGTGGATAGTGTGATTTAATAAGTAAATTACCTTGCTATCTCTAATCCAGCGTCGTCAATAGTTGAGATAACAGTTATGAGATTTCGGATCCTTCAATTAAAATGAGTATTGTGAGATAGATTTTGTTTGCTAAATCACACCAGTGATATTAATACCACAGTTACTATATCTCAAAAACTAGCTAAATAACACAATGCCGAATGTACTAAGTAAAAACATTCAAAATATCCAAAAACCTCATGATAACTAAATATTTGGACCTATAACTTTAGCTTAGGAACCCCTAACCCTAAATTTTATTTGCAAAGCAAATGTGATGCTAACATCACTGGTGAGATTTAGCATAACTGATATATTATCATTAATTACAAGAATGTTAGTCTATAATGTTGTATCAGATATTATATTAAAAAAACTATCTGATTTATTAAGGCAATTTCTAAACTAACTTAGCAGAGTAATAACTACATTCTCACAACGACTCATTTTGATTTCTTCAGATATCTGAAGTAACACATGGATAAAATTATTACTTAATTTGATGTATGAATATTTAATTTCATGAACTTAATTTTAGTCAGTTACTACTTCAGATATCTGAAGAAACTAATCCAGTTGCAGCATGAATACTTTCGATTAGAAAATGATGAGTTTACGACCTCGATTGTTATGACGCTATGAATCATAAACCATAACTTCATCTTCTTAACCATTATTTAATAAACTTTTTAGATCCACAAACTAAGAATTTTATGCTGGTGTTACAGCTTGCAGATGGTGGAACCCTACGGAATTATTTAAAATCAAAACATGAAGAGGGTCTTTTCAAAATTTCGTGGACAGAAATTATTCAAATCGCAAGGGAAATTACACATGGAATTAAATATTTACATTCTAAAGCTATCATTCATAGAGATCTTGTAAGTTTTTTTCCAGATTGTATAATGACTTAGTTTATATTCAAATTTATTTACTATAATAATTTAAAATTCTTTAGCATTCTAACAATATCCTCATAAATAATAATAAAGTCTTAATTGCTGATTTTGGTGTCGGGAAACAAATGGACAAAACTGCCACTACAAGTTCAGGTGTACTAGGAGTGGCTTCATACGTTGACCCACAGTTCTTGAAATGTGCTGAATTTAAGCGCAATGAAAAATCAGATATTTATAGTCTAGGTGTACTGCTCTGGGAACTCACAAGTGGTGTCCCTCCATTCAGGCACCTTCATCCACCAGCCATTATGCTAGAAGTCGTAAGTGGTACAAGAGAAAAACCCATCGCAAATACACCTGCAGATTATACAAGCCTATACAGTAAATGTTGGTCTCCTGATCCAGACAAACGCCCAGCGTTAGATAAAATTTTAAACACTCTTGACAAATTATCAAACAGAATTGAATTAATTATAAATAATCCAGAATTGGTGCCTGATGATTCTCAATCAATGGCAAAAAACCTTAAAAATTGTCAATGTAGTACAGGTAAACATCTATTTTTCACATGTAAACTGTTTTAAACGGGTTTTACATATGAAAAATATTATCGGATCCAACTCTATGACAGATTTATTTTGCTACTTGGTCTCAATTATTGAATTTTTAACTAATCACTATTTTTTTTTATATGTAAGATAAACCTAGAATTTTAATTGTCTCGTATTTTTTACCATTTACTATTGAAAAAACTGATATCGGCTATACGCTTGAAAAATCTTTTAATGGTTTGGCGAACATACTTAGTGAACTGAAAAAGGCAATGAATTTTATTTGGATAGGATGGCCTGGTATTAATTTAGCTTTTTTGTATAATAATGTGCTTAAAGGTTGGATTCGAATTTTAAAATTTGGATTTTTATTTGAAAATCAAATTTAAATACAATTAACTCTGCTTATATCAAACTCTCCGGATTTATATGTAAAAAAAATTCAGTTTAAAAAGTTTAATACATTAAACCGAACATTTAAAACTTATAAATGTTCAGTTCTCACAGTGTTTATTAAGTGCTCGGTTTATCCAAGTTCGGATTTAGAGAATTGACTGTATAAAAATCTCAAAATCAAAATTTCAATTCCAACCTTTAGGTAGATTACTTCAATAACGAGATTAATCAAACATTTAGTTTATACAAAATCTTGCAAGAGATTTCATTTTGTTATGCTTGCACATTATGAGTCATAATTTATATTTAGAATATTGGTAATTTTACATAGATATATCACACTAAATCATTTCACCGATATCATTTAGGGTGTGCTATTTAATTTTACCATATATTATTTATAAATTATCGCTTCATGTGACGTAGGCCAAATGATATACCAGGAACGAATGTAATGAGTGTACCAGGAACGAATGTAATGAGTGTATGGTTTATACGCTGTTTGGAGTGGGATTTGTCCGCAAAATCTTAAGTTT